ATATACTAATTTTTAAAGTATCAAATTGAATTTTTGTTCAATAAAAATCTTTCAAACGTGTACTGTAGCTTTTTTTCCCCAAAACTTTGTCTTCAAAATAAGGGTGCATCTTATATTAAGAAAAATACGGTATATTGAATATTATTGTGTAATAAACTTAAAATAAGACCCAAAATTCGAATGCTTTCGAATTGTTGACTATTCTTCTTCAGGAGAACAGAAGAAGAATAGTCAACTATTCGAAAGCACTTGAGTTTTGGGTGTTATTTTAAGTTTATTACACTTTATATGTGATCCTTTGTGCTAACTCTTTTATCAAGATTGAATATTATTGTTAATTTTTCATATTCAAACAAGAGATAAGTAAAAGAACTTATTATTTATTGAAAAGAAGCTATTTATTAGATGTAAATTGATCTCCACCAAGAATATTGTTGCCTAGCATGACCTGATGTCATTGTAACAAGTTTGGTTGTAGGTCTTAAATAAATCTTTGTCAGTTTTAGCCATGTTTTTTTATTTATAGCAGCAACTAGTTACAGTTGACAAAAGAAATGTGTTAACAATTAACAATGTCAATTAAATTTAAAACTTATTGTACATATAAAATGGATGTTTCTGATGAATACTAAAAACTTTGAAATTCTAACAGAAGGAAGTATTTTGAATGGTTGTTTTATTTAATTCAGTGTCTTTTAAAAGAGTTTTATAAATTTCATAATATAAAAAGGTATAGAAAAAGTAAACTAAAACTAGATGCTACTTATTACCCTTTTACTATATAAGTTTCTTGTAGTTTGGCAAAAAAAGTTAATGCAGTCATATGTTACAATTTAAAATTTAAATGATAAACTGTTTCATCAGTTGGGTACCCTCGCTGTTAGTAATATTTTGGCCATCAGCCCTGTTTTATCTTATGAGGTTCTACCACTTATGAGATTTAGGTTAGTTCTAAATACAAATTCTATACTAACAATTTAAAACAATCTTTATAATATAAGTATAATAATAAATAACAAATGGAAATAAAATTTGATATACTAACTAGTATAATGAATGTTATTAATAGAAGCAACAAATAAACAAAATAGTGTATTGATATTAAATTATTTGCAGCAAACCCCACCTTCCAAGAGACATTATGGAACCATCCCTCGACAACACGGAGCACAGGTCTTACAGCAGATCCATCAACAGCTACGACTACATCAAGTGGATGCATCAACTCCCTCGGAACCACAGCCATCATCTCCTGAGACAACAAAAACTTCTCCTGCTACTGTTACTTCTACTACTACCCCTAGCTCAGTGTCCCCAAGTATTGATCCCTCGTCTACACCACAGAGTTTTCAGCATCCTAGTCTGGATAACTTCCGATCTCCTCGCACCAAAAGCTCAGGGGTTTCGTTTGGTAAAGGGTTTTTTAAGTTAAAAAATGGGAAACGCAGCTCCAGTGCACCTGAATTAGGTGATGGTTCTTTAATTTTTGGTTTGAGCACCCTTTCCTATCAAAATGCATGTTTTCCTGGTGCTTTGTTGTCATGGTGACTATATGCAAATATAAGTTTTATGATTAAAACAGCATTTTTTAATCCCATGCAACCAATATAATATTAACTTGAACACACTTTTTAAAACCAAGTATGTTTCAAGTGTAATTGGGTGTAGAAAAAGCACAAGACAATTTCAAAAGTTTTATATGTACTAGTAATGTATTAAAATACTTCACACTGTCATGTAAGGTTTTCACATGTGATTGCATCTTTTTTTCACAAATAATTACATGTACTTAGTATTGCCACACTGTCAGATTTAATAGAGAGGTACTAATATTTCCTTATATTGTCACCAGTATGTGTGGAAGATTATATTGATTACATTGATATTCATATCTCCACTCTTACCTGTATCTTCTCTGGTATTTTTTTTTTCTGTTCCATTATATATCAAAAAATCTTTCATCAATTAAGTTTTCAAGATGCAGAAATATTTTAAAGTTTTTAATGGCTTGGTGAGATAGAGCAGCTTTTAGGATGATATCAGCAGTTCACTGCTACAGTAGAAGAAATGTGTTGATTAATAAGTTGCCTAACTGAAATAGTTCAGTGCTTGTACTGTTTTCATGTGTAGATTTCAGGTTGCCAGTCTATGATTTTGTGGAACATTAAGAAATATTGGAGATTTTTAAAAATTGTTTTCATAGTACTATGGTGTGTTGTGAAACAGTGTCAAATATTTTATATCATTCACATTAGAGATAATAATTTAGTGCTTTTAGGACCACACATAACAATTACACAGATGTTATAATTCACGAATATTAGAATATGATGGTAATATGTGAAAAAACCTTGTTTCACAAAGAGTAAAAACATATTAGATAGTTGACTTTATAGGAAAGAATGATTTTCTAATAATTCTTTTAATTGCATAACATTTTGTCAAAAGAATGTAATAATAATCATGCAGAGAGCAAGATATTAAACAAACTTAATCTGGTTAAAAATATATCTAGATCTGGCAGTAAAGTAAAACTTGTCTTTGGTCCCATGACAACAATGCATTTTCTGTTTATGCATGATGCATGCCACATCTCTCAAACTTTTTTTGCATGGTAAGAATGTTTAATATAGAAACGTTTTTTTATTGGGATTATTACTTAGTGCATAATCTAGAAATTAGTCTTCCTTGGTTATTTTTTTGCACCTATTGTTTTTAAAAAACTTTTCAAAATGAAAATGTTTCGATTCTGATGTTATGAAGAATATTGAGTTTTTGGGTGTGCCTTCAAATTTTTAAATAAATTTCATTAGTTTCTTACTTTTAGAGTTTAATAATACAAGATTCAATGTAGGAAAATGTTTACTAGATATTCCCCCTTTGGTGTTTCATAAGCAAGCATGAGGGCTTATAATGAAAAAATTGGGGTTTGATACCAGCAGTGAACAAAGCACAAGTAGCCCATTTATTAGAATTTAAATGCTTGCTCACACCAAGAACTAATTCATAAATCAAACAAGGCCCACGATAAGGAATATTAACAAAAAAGGGGGGGCTATGCATGATTTAAAATAGAAAATAGATTTAAAATAGCACAATTGTTATTTTCAACCTCTTTTTCTTTTTATTGTTTCATTGCACAAATGGTACTGTTATTGTTTTTCTAGCCCTTCCAGAGTATGCCGTACACCCCAATGGTAGAGAAACACCTCGGTCAACCTTATCAAGAAGTAGAGAATCTCCTCAGTCCATGTTATCCTTACCCCAAGGCAGCCCCAATACTTCCAGTAAATCTGAACCCAAGGAAAGAAAAGGCATTAAGAAAATTTTTGGAAAGTAAGGATTGTTAATAAAATGTTAATTATATACATATAGAAATAAAAAACAGAAAATAAAAAATCTAGTTTTAAAATTACTAATCCAAGAACATTTTATTTTCTTATGTATTATGTATTCAAAGTGAGACCAGGCATTTTTTTGGATGAGCATCTGCTTATGCTTCATAGTCAGTGGTATTAGATTAATAGAACTGATCCTTAAAATCATAACTTCTTGAAGTTATACATAAATTGTGTCATGTTAGATAATTTTATCTGGTGATAACTTCAGCATTCAAAGAGTGAGAGTTGCATTTAGCCGAAATAATTTTCAAAAGCCCTCTTAGCCTTTTGCTTCCTTTAGTAGGTTACTTTGAATGATTTGAGTTATATTATAAGTCTAAAATTTCTTAAAAAATAAATCCATTGTTCAAAAATAAGTTTGTTAGGTATGGAAGGGAGATTTTATTCATTTTCAGAAGAACAGAATGAAAACATTGATTTAATAATTCTTAAACAATGTAAATTATTTCCAGGTTATTCCAAGGTTCTTCATTCTGATAAGGTACATTACCTGCACTCATGAATACAGCTATTCTTGTTCAGTGCTGTCCTTTATATGAAAATTTTTTTTCGCACGCCACAAGCCTTGCCCTCCCACGTACCTTGCGATTATTGTGGTTCAACTGCATCTCGCATGCAAGTCATTATACGACAACCCTCCACCAATAGGAGTGCAACACACCTTCCTGATGCATGTGACTCCCTTTATTCAATTATACCAAACTATCACTTCTCATTAGGTCCATCAAGTTCTAGCCACTCTACATCTTGGAGCACATCCAGTTTCACTTTCCCCCACATTACTGTCTGTAGAGGATTCATCTACAGCTTCTCTTCAATGGGATTGAGATTATGATATCGTGTGATTCGATTTCAATCCAACCATTTTCTCTCCCTTTTGGTTATGCTCCTCCATCATCAATAAAAGGTGTTCTTTGGATGCTTTCGAAGGGTGTTTCTTTTTATCCCTTGCACCAGTCCCTCCACCTCTTCAATGTATCATATTAGAAGTTACAGTTTTCCTATACTGAAAATATATTTCCAATAGTTAGTTACCTCCTCTCACACTTCCCATCCTTCCTCCTCACTGGAAACTGGTACTTCCTTTTTTGCATAAACTCAAAGTGATAGTTCAGTAGAATTGAATAGAGGGAGTCACATGCATCAGGAAGGTGTGTTGCATTCCTATTGGTGCAGAGTTGTTGCATACAAGAAGCAGTTGAACCATGATAATTGTGGGGTACATGGGAGGGCAAGACTTGTGGCAAGCAAAATGTTTGTTGTATATAGAGGGCAGCACTGAACGAGAATAGCTATATATGTGAGAGGAGGTAAGTACCTATAAAAAATATATTTTCAGTATTGGAAAAAGGTCTAAGATGAATTATATTTATTTAAAAAGTTTAATGAATAAAATGTTAACAAGATTTTCCACAATGCATTGCCAAACAATTTTCCAATATAATAAACATAGTTCTTCTCAACATGGAAAAAAACTTTTCTAAACAAATCTGGTGATACTATTACTAAAATATCTTTTATGAACTTTAGAATTTCACTTGTTTTAAAATTGCAGCTCAGTATGTTTCTGTCTTCTTTCTGAATATTTCTTAAGCAACTAGAGTGGTTGTCCAGCATTACCTTAATCTGATAACTGTTTATTCAATGTGAACCATATTAGTACATGTGGTTTAGATTTGTCATCTTTATATGATTGCAGGTTTGGAAAGTAAAACTTGTTACTTATTTCATGGAGGATATAAAACTTTTTAACAGTCAAAATTACTGATGAAAGTACTGTAAAATTTGACTCAAATAGTTCTAAGTAAACATTATATTAGTAAAGTGTAGTTATAAACATTATAAGACAGTTATAAGTTTGTCAAGTTAAATAAAGATCTAACATATGAAACAAAACTGCAGTAAGACCTGAGAATACTTCCAGTCTGCTTGACATAGACATACTCAATAAAGGATTGTCATAACAATTGACTACTGTAGTTAGTGGAGCTGAAGATGAGTAGCAGTGAAGGATTTGTGAGAGGGTGACTATAAACTAACAAAATTTCACTTTTGTGCCTCTTTTCAAGTTGTGTACTCATACTGTTTTTCTGTCAGTGTGTTTTGGCTACACAATCTGTATTTTGTTATTGATGCTGTAAATCTATGTAGGCTTGTGTTTTGTGTTACATCTGGGTAACCTCTTATTCTAGTTGGAGCTGTTTGTGTTAGTTATTCATAAGGTATGAACGTAGGTTTGTTATTAACGTTAGAACTACATAGGCTTGTGTTTTATATTAGAGCTGTTTAGGCTCATTATTAATGCTGGAGCTGTGTATGCTCATTATTCACATTAAAATCATGTAAGTTTGTTGTTAATCTTAGAATTACCTAGGCTTGTGTGTTATGTTAGAACTGTGTAGGCTTATCATTGATGTTTGAACCATGTGAGTTTATTATTGCTGTTAGAACTATGCAGGTTTGTTAATGGTGTTGTAACTATGTAAGTTTGTTAGTGGTGTTTAAACTATGTACATTTGTTATTAATTTTAGAACAATGTGTTTTTTATTAATGCTGTAATTATGTAGGTTTGGTATTGATGATAAAACTAGTTTTAGCATCAATACCAAACCTACATAATTACAGCATTAATAATAAACATAAACTTATGTTTATTATTAATGCTGTAATTATGTAGGTTTGGTATTGATGCTAAAACTATTTATTTTTATTATTAATGTTGGAATTATATAGGTTTGGTATTGATGCTAAAACTATTTATGTTTATTATTAATGTTGGAATTATGTAGGTTTGGTATTGATGCTAAAACTATTTATGTTTATTATTAATGTTGGAACTATATAGGTTTGATAATTAATAACTTCTGATCAGAGCAAGATATCTGTTTAGAATGAAACTAAGAATCAACTTAGTACAACATGTCCGATGTTTCTCCAACTCTCCCTCACACATCTTTTGACCAAGGAAAAATCATTAAGCCATACCTACTATCTAATGTGTTGAAGTAGTTGCAGTAATTTTTGTATAGTACAACCAAAAACTAATGTTTATGGAAATATAAAATGATAAATAAGAAAATAAAGTAATACCTGAACTGTCCATTGAAATATAACAACGTTAAATGTAATACAAAGAAAACAACACGTTAAACATACTATTTGGTATGTCTAACATTGTCAGTCTTTTTTAAACTAATCTCTGATATTTAAAAATAGAGCTAGCTACAGTAAATAATTTATAGTATTAAATCTTCTTTAAAAGCCAAAAAAGGAAATGCAATAAACATGTAGAAAATTCAATAAAAATTATAATACTTAGAAAGGAATGTTACAACATTCATTAATGTAGCAAGGAAAGTAATTATCAAACACTATTTTAACTAAGCTAATAACATTTCATACTATGTATGGAAACATTATATAGTTAATATTAACTGTATATAATAAGAACTTAAACTAATGGGGGGTAAAACCAATGCTAGTTCACTATTACCCTAAACAATATCTGAAGGAATTAAAGTGTAGACATGAAACTTTGTAGAAAATCATGATACTATTTAAACTTCTTAACACATAAATCTGTATTAAAAATATTGTTGAATTTCCCATAGAATTGAATTGTGTTTAAGATAAGCAATGAGCAGCCTTGTTTGTGAAAAATGAGAGTTAGCTTACGAGCTCTTTCGAAAAAATGCTATTGTGTTTATTTGGTATTAATGTTGGAATATGTAGGTTTGTTATTGGTATTGGAACTTTGATGTTGAACCTTTGTATGTTTGGTATTAACCCTCTAAATATGGGTGGGTCAAAGTGTGCATGCCATTTTGTTTTACAGGGTTGTTTTTGAAAGTTAATTGAACAATTTTATTATTACTGCATGTCAATAAAATTGGCATAAAAATAGTTTATAATTCAAACTTTATTCTTGTATAACATTTAATATTTTAATTTTAAAAAGAAGTATTTAAATAAATTCTCAATCTTCTTTATTCTATATCACATAACAAGTTCTTTGCTCCAACTTGCCCAATTTAGATTTCTTTCCATGCCTATAACATTTTCAAATTTCCAATGAAGTACATGCTTATAGGTTAGATATCCCAGAGCTAAAATGTTAACTTATAGTGTCTATACTTTTTGGTTTATGGAGATATAAAAAATAAACTGAAGGCCAGATTCCATGACCCATGTAGAACATCCTGCCTTCAAAAATTGTCATAAATTATCTCTGACATTTGCTGTTGTATTATTTGTAGTGAGTAGAAGATTTCAATTTACTGATAACTGTGGGTTTTCAAGCCCTTGTAATAAGCAGAATTGAACATTTTGGCATTGTTTTCTTTGTTTGCTACTGTTGGAGCTCTGCTTAACCAGATATGGGAATTACTTAAGCCATTTCTAGGTTATTTAGATAAATTATAGTAGTTTTAGGACATCCTATTTTACATATGTGGCAATATTTTATAATATAAGTTACATATTTGAATTTAAGAAGACGAAAAATTCCAAGACCACATTATTGTTACTAAGAATTAGGGGCTAAGCTTTGATATTGACTTCTATTGTGTGAATACAAAAGCTTGAAAAAGAAAAAATTCAGATGCAAGTACTAAATTTGTTTTGTTTGTAAGTATATTTTTTTACTTATTCCTATAAGAGTAACTAAACTGTAAAAATTAAAAACTTGTAGGTTTAAGTAAGAAAACTTAAATGCAATTAAATAAACAAAATACTCATGATCAGTGATAGCACATGCCAAGTGTGAGCAAGGTTGTGTGAATTGATACAAGCAAACTAGTAAGTGGATCCATTGTTTAAATAATGCTGTCCAGTGCAATAAATAGCTATCACTGTAGTCTTAGAAGATCTAAGTTGAACTGTAAAGAAATAAAACTAACTGTTAGTTTTAATGGCTGTAAAAATAAATAGTGTGTGATTCTGTTACAGCATGCAGTCATTGTAGAGAAAAATGGGGGCAACTTATGCTTCATGTTTTTCAGTTACGTGATGGTTACAAGGTCAGCAAAATGGACTGAGTCCAAATATTTTATTAGAAAATAACATTAAATATAAAGTTGTACTGAAAAAAAAAACCTTGTGATATCCATTTAGGAGGTTCTAGAGGATATGTAAATAAAATTTAAAAACTGCAAGATGAAAAACATTGTTAAATCAAAATCTGAGTCAGACTCTGACTCCATAAGTTCATTTACAAATCTATAGTAAAAATACTTAATTAAAATATCTAGTTTGTTATGTACAAAAGACTTGTAATGTTTATTAAACAGTTGCCAAATTTTGTGAAGATACACTTACAACATTAAAAGTTATAGTTGTATAGTTTCATAGTGGTTACAAATGAATAAAAACCCTATAACCTGTATGTTTTTGAAAAGTGGACCTTTCTTCTTCAGGAGCATACTGGGAATGGTTTGCCAGTTTGCCTGAAGATGAAAGGTCCACCTTTCGAAAGCACTTGAGGTATAGGGTTTTATTCATTTTTTTCAAAACTTCTTGAACCTACGTGTTTTTCTAACATCATGAATAGTGGTTACAAAGTTGGTGAAAGTGACCAAACCTGTATAAAGAGAGTTAATACTGGAACTGTGTAGGTTTGTTATTGATGTTGATATGTAGATTTATTATTGGTTTTCCTAAATCTGTGTATTTGTTATTAATGTTGGAACTATGTAAGTTTCTTATTGACATTAAGTTAGAACTATGTAAGTTTCTTATTACACTGAAGTTCGAATTGTATAGGTTTGTTATTGATGCTGTGATTGTATAGGTTTGTTATTGATGCTAGGATTGTGTAGGTTTGTTATTGATGCTAGGATTGTGTAGGTTTGTTATAAAAATTAGGTGAACTGTTTACTCATGTACTGGTACAGAAAATATGTAAAATTCAGCTTTTCTTTTACAATAATTTCCTTTAAAACTTATTTTATAATGAGAGTCAAAAATAAACATTCTATTCAAGTTTATAACACTAAATATATATATATAGGAAAATCATTATTATTATGTTAATACATTGCTTCTTCTATTTCTCTTTTTGATAGCTTTATGAAAGCCTAAAATGGAAAAATATCAATTATATACCTAAAGTTGTGATAATTGGCGATCAGCCATCGTCATGATTAGTTGCCTATAAGATAAGATTACCAAATCTAATTACTAATTAGTTACTATTTTGTTATTATTATTCTTGCTAGATACTAATTGCTAATTAGTTTATCTCTTACTTTTCATGTCATTATTTTACTGTCATCTTCAACAAAGTCTTGGGAAGGACTGTATGTAAAGGTAGGAGCCGGGATATAATTCTGTGTCTTCTTGTTAGAAAGGAGTATCTATCCACTCGCTGGGCTCTCTCTCTATCTCTCCCATTTAATGAACTAGCTATTTCTATAATTTCAAAATTAGTATCCATTTTTAGCTGATTTCTATGCTAGGTTGACTGTGTTATCAGTTAGTTGAATGTAGAAGGCTTCTTTTATCTATCTTTTTCTCATTTGGTTGATATTCCATTTTATTTGACTTTGTGGTTTTCTTCCTTAACATGATGGGCTATTGCAGGTAGATCAGTCTTGCACAATGTGGTTTATCTATCATGTTTTTGTTAAGATTTGTGGAGATTTTTATCAAAATAGTTTGAGAGCAGTAGTAGGATCTTGTCTTAACTGAACAGAAGAAACAAAAAATGTAAACATACCTAACAGTCTTTAAAATTAAAATAGTTTTTCATCCTGTAATTTTTTTATAATTGCAAGATACCCCAAGTTTGTTATGCATTTCAATAACTAACAAATTTGTAAAACATCAAATTTTATTGTCATTCATATTGCTAGATATCCTTTTTGGGTGATTCATGAATTCTGTTCTTCGTTCGGTTTTTAAATGCTTTGTTGTGTATTAACTGTGATTATACTGTGTGTAGAATACTCATTTTATATTGTTTGCTTATTCTCTAAATGTTTTTATAGAGACCATTGACACTGGAATATATGGTTGTGTGTTTGTAATTTTCTTCTTGTTTATCAAGTGATTAAGATATCCGTTGTTAAGGAAGGTTGCAGTGATGTGTTTTGCTTCATTCTTCTTAGCATTTTATATATTACAAATCTTGTTCATCCTGGAGATTAAGCAGCCTTTGTGACCATTCTAACACTGTTGGGGCAGTTTGATCTATAGTTGTAACACTGTTGGGGCAGTTTGATCTATAGTTGTAACACTGTTGGGGTGGTTTGATCTATAGTTGTAACTCTGTTGGGGCAGTTTGATCTATAGTTTTAACTCTGTTGGGGTGGTTTGATCTATAGTTGTAACACTGTTGAGGTGGTTTGGTCTATAGTTGTAACACTGTTGGGGCAGTTTGATCTATAGTTGTAACACTGTTGAGGTGGTTTGATCTACAGTTGTAACACTGTTGGGGTGGTTTGATCTATAGTTGTAACACTGTTGGTGCAGTTTGATCTATAGTTGTAACACTGTTGAGGTGGTTTGGTCTATAGTTGTAACACTGTTGGGGCAGTTTGATCTATAGTTGTAACACTGTTGGGGTGGTTTGATCTGTAGTTGTGGGTTTCTGGTGGTATACAAGTTATACACCTTGGTAACCATGTGAGTTTGTCTTCAGTTTTTATTGTGAATTGTATCACTGGATATTATGTTCAGGTGGTTCATGAATTCTTGAATCATATCTATAGTATGTGTGGCCATATAACAAATCAGATCACCTAATATCACAATGTAGAGTCAAAACACTAGTTACAAGATTGCTTGTGAATGTGGACACCGGCACACTGGAAAATAAGATCAACAACTGTTAGAATTCAGGAACATAACTAACACATAGTAACCTATCTGCAATAGTCCATAATGCTAGAGAAGAATACCATACAATAAAATGGAATAAAATAAAAATAATTTGATATTAACCACACATAAAAAAGGAAAGATACAAGAAGCTTTCCACATCCACCTAACTGATAACACAGTTGGATAACCAAGCACAGAAGTCAACCAAACATGGATACCCATATTTGAAACCATTCAAACAGCTGATTCAAGTTCCAATGGAGATGAAAGCCTGGATGAATGGATAACAAATCTCCCTCTCTTACAAGAAGACTGGGATCAAGCCCTAGCTCCTACTGCCACTTACAGTACTTCTGAGGATTAACAGTCAAAATATAAGATATAAGTTAACTAATAATTAGACTTAGGTGATCTTCTAAGTTACTAACTGTGACAGCAACTGAAAAATGTTAGTTTGAATTTACAGATGCTGTGTGGAAATTGTCTCCATGTTATCAAAGTAATTATTTCAGCTTTGTTCATCTGCTCTTTTAATATCTAGATTGAAACGTTCTGGTTCCCAGAGTATGGATTTGGTTGGTGGAGATTTCTCTCGAAATAGACTGAGAGCAACCGCAGGACCTCGTCTTGGCTGGTCAGAAGGAACGGGGCCAGAGAAAATGTAAATATATCTGTAGTTTTTAAAACAGTGTCCAATTCTATAAATGAATTGTTTTTAAAAGTTGGAGATGATTTTACAGTATAGTAAGTTAGTTAAACATTTCAACATGTAATAAAAGTGTAAAGCATTGTATATCTTCATTATTTCTGTTATTTTTTAAAGATTAGTAAAATAAAATTTCCATCCATTAACTTATTATCAGTGTGCAGCGTTACAGAAATGTGATTGTTTTGTTTTTTAGACCAAAAAAACTAATACTCAGAGCAAAAACTCGTATCAAATAAGTGAAATCTACTTTACCAATAAAAATGTAGTTATTAAAGATTCAAAAATGATTTGGAAAGCACAAAGATTCTCTCAGACTTGTCACTCTTTTTTCAGATTTTTGTGAGTAGGCACGTATTTTTAGTGAAAAATCTCAAAACTTTTTAAATCTAATAAAACCATAACTTTTGTAATAAAAACAAGTTTTTTAATTAATATTTTTCAACAAAAATTATTGTAAACCTTGCATAAAATAGTGGGAAAAATAATAACTCATTAGTACTGTGGTGGTTTGGCAATTTCCATTGAACCAATTTTGAGTACTATGTAGTGTTCTTCAGGTTTCAAATATTAATAATAGAAATTCCTAGGACTGATGTAATGAAATACTTATCTTGTTTGAATGTAGATTTCATCAATTAATTACACTTCTCATTCATGTTTAGGTTTGTTTTATATTTACTTATCTTTCTGTCTTGTTTCTATGTACTTTCATAAAGTTCAAATGCGTTTTGTTTCTTTAACAGTGGCTGTGCTTTTTTGAAATTACTTTTAAAGTTAAACCAACATGTAAAACTAAATCTGTTTTCGTTCATATTAGTATAGCAGGTTGATTTTTTTCTGACATTATGTCTTTTTTTGCTTATTTTAGTGCCCCAGATATACCTTTTGCTCAGTGGGACACGGATATGGTTGCTAATTGGCTACATAGAATTGGACTTAATATGTATGTTAATGAGTGTAAACGTTGGGTTAAAAATGGGGACCATCTCTTAAAGGCATCACAACATGACCTTGAAAAGGTAAAACTGGGATGTTTCATTTTAGCAAAAATGAGTTTTAATTTAGAGCTTCATATGCATGAGTTGAAATCAATCCAAATTTAAACCTTTAATAAAAATATTGTTCTTAGTAAAAAGATAAGATTTACGATATTAAATTTGATACAGTCCAAAAGCTTATTGTATTGAAACTAATTTAAATAAAAACCTTTAAAGACATTGGTCTTAGTAAATAGATATAAAAGATAAAAAACAGATATGAAACAGTCGAAAAGCTTATTGTATTAATATTAATCTAAATAAAAACCTATAAAATAATCGGTCTTAGTAAACACGTATAAAATGTTAAGCTTGTTACAGTCAAATACCCTATTGTATTGATATTAATCTAAATATTTGACTGTATCTAGCTTAATATTTTATATCTTTTTGTTAGTAAGACCAATATTTTTATACATTTTTATTTAGATTAATATCAATACAATAGGGTATTTGACTGTATCTAGCTTAATATTTTATATCTTTTTGTTAGTAAGACCAATATTTTTATACATTTTTACCCTATTGTATTGATATTAATCTAAATAAAAACGTATAAAAATATTGGTCTTACTAAAAAAAAGATATAAAATATTAAGCTAGATACAGTCAAATAGCTTATAGTATTGAAAGTAATCTAAATAAAAGCCATTAAAGTATTGGTTTTAAAATACTAACTAAATACTAAAATATTAACTTTATGTGCATGCTCCCAACCTTGTACAGACTTCCATTCAACATGGTATTATGCATATGATGTCAGAGTTTTCTACTTTTCATGCTACCCTACATAGATGATTTCACAACAAGTCATGTTAGAGAAGAGAAAATAGCAGTCACAGCATACAGGAATTCTGAAAAAAACTCTTCAGATATGCATTTTCGATATTATAGAGGTTACACATATGCAATTTGCAAACTGCACAATGGATAAAAGTATTCGTATTCTTCACATGAACAACACCTTGCACTCTGACTGGTCAGTGTGTCATTGAGACCGACTTTGTCATTTCACAGACATATCTTTAGTACAAAAACTTTATTAACACGTGATTTTTTATGTACGGCAGACTTTTATTATTTACTAAAAGCTTGACACAGTTCATGAAGATGTGCTTCATCAATTGATTATAGTTAACATTACTTCTCCGCTATTGGAGTGGTACTGTGGACTGACTCCATGCACATTCAATTAAGTTTGATACAATCAAATAGCTTATTGTATCAACATTAATCTAAATAAAAACCTTTAAAGACATTGGTCTTAGTAACAAGATATAAAACATTAAGAATGATAGAATGAAAGAGCTTGTGGTATTGAAATTAATCCAAATATAAACCTTTAAAACATTGATCTTAATTGATCTTAAACATGGCATAATTAAAAAGAAAATATTACTTTACACTGAACAAAATAATAAAAAAGGAGTGTAAGGACAGTCTGTTTTGTTATACAGGAACTTGGTATTAAAAACCCCTTTCATCGTAAGAAACTCCAGTTAGCTTTTCAATCCTTGGGCTCAAAGAGTGGTGATCTTACAGAAGCTGCAGGGAAACTTGACTACCAGTGGGTAACTCGTTGGTTAGATGATATTGGTCTTCCTCAGTACAAAGATACATTCTTGGAAGCCAGAATTGATGGTCGTATGCTTCATCATCTTACAGTAGTATGTTTTTAATCATAATGCTATTATACGTTTTTTGTCTAATATTTTATTGTCCATTTCTTTTGAAGTCTAAACAAAATTGAGAATTTATATGCATTTCATTCATTAAAATTGGCTTTTTATTCAGAAAAGCTTGTGTTCTTTCATTGTATTGAAGTTTTGATGAAAATTAAATATTATGTTTGGACTATTTGTGTTAAAATGTTTCAAAAAAGCATGTGGTTGTATAAACTTTATGCATATCAACCAGGAATGTTTTCGAATGATGAACAATGAGAAAAAATGTTATAGTTGATCACATGAGTAGGACTTTTTACATATATATTAAAATCATACCTGTTTTTCCATTTCATAGGAGGACTTGTTTAACTTGAAGGTATTTAACCAACTACACCACATCAGTGTAAAACGGGGTATTCAAGTGTTGCGAGAGAATTCCTTTGAACCTTTCTGTCTGAAACGTCGCTCTCTTCCTGATGAGGTTAATAAAGTGATATGATGTTGATAATTATTTAAACTTTAAAAGTATCTAAATTGAGGAGTCTGTCAGTGAGACTATGCATTGTCAGAATATTGGAGACAAGTATTTTAATGTTAAGTTTGCTCATGGTTAACAATTTATACCAAATATTGTTTAGCAGTAGAAAGGTGTTAAAATAGGGAACATATATTTCCTTAGATGTTCAGGTTAACCATGATAACTTGTGTAGATGTGTAGTTATATGTGGTGCAATATTGTCATAGTTTTGTACTTGCTTTTTTTTTAAAGATTTTTATCATAATATGTTAGAGAAGAACAAAAGTAACAAATATGTTATTTATTGATTACAGTATGAGTTGACACTTCTGATTTTTACCTGTTAAAATGTTTTATTTCTGCTATGACAGCGTAACAAATTAAAAATATATGGAGTAGAAAAGCCTATAAATTAGTTTCACTGTAATTGCAAGATTGACATATAGGATTTTCTACATACCACTGTATATGATTTCATGCTGTTCTTCATTATTTCTATTAAAGAACCTCTCTTATTCGTAGAGTAAGGCTTATGATTCACGTGAAGTGGCTCTCTGGACTAATCATAGAGTGATGGAGTGGTTGCGGACAGTGGATTTGTCAGAATATGCCCCTAACCTTAGAGGAAGTGGTGTACATGGTTCTTTAATGGTAAGGCCTTTAAAAAACTATCAGAGCTAAAAAATCATGTTAAGAATGATTGAAAGATATTTATTTTACTGTAGCAATGAAGTCAGTACATTGTTTATGGCAGTATAGCAAACTTCAATTGTTCAGGTTACACATTTCAAACAAGTAACACGGGTCAAGAGTGAAAGGCCATGTCATCTCATTTGTTGACTCGCATTCAAAATTTTATTGAACTACTATTTCATGAACTTATGTCAATAAGTTTGGTATCAAACTTTAGATTATAATTCAAATTTTAGAACTATACATTACTCAATTTCTTAATTTAAAAGTAAATATAAAAAAGCAACAGATAAACATTGATTTTTGTGTGTCACGTGGTATGTTGAATGCAGCACTGGTTCAAATTAGATGTTTGTGAAGTCAAAGTACTAAGTCTATAGTTTCATACGAATTAGAAACTCAAATTACTGATATTGACAAGCTAGAATATAAAATAAGAACATCTTATCTTTTCTATTTTCTAAGATATTGCTCATATAATAAATCAAACACAGTGGCACCCTGCCCACATCTTTTCATTTTTGGAAACGCTCCCTTGTATACACTTACTTCTATATACGACACGAATATCCAATCAAAAGCTCAGAATGTCCCCCTAGTAGCTTTCTCAGCCACTTTCAAATATAAAGCTGTTATATCTTTCTTTCAATACAAACGTCATAGAGGTAGTTGAGTCTTTAGTCTGCTCGAAATTTCATATTTTTTTAGACCCAATTACAGCCCAGTTACTAAAATTTATAAATTATAATTGAGTTCTATGGTATCGATATAGTAATTTATGATTTTTTTGGTTATTTCAAATATATATATATAAAACCTAAAAAAATTATTTTGTTTCATATCCTCCACATGCAAAATTCTTAAAGGCTTTGCAACCTATGTCAAGCAGCGACTGAGTACAAAGGTCATAACTAGAAGAGATAATTGTTTGTTTTACTTCTTTGTCTACATACATATATAATGTATAATAATTGAAATGTGACTGTGTTTTACAAAATACTAGTCGACTAAAACACAGCCAAGACAGGTTACTTTGTAAAGCACACTTCTTCATGATAAAATGTTAAATCACTTCTCTTGTAAAATATTTTTAATCTCCAAATATAACTTTATATAAATAGTGGTATTTTCAGCTAAAAAAGAAGAATGAAACATTGCATTTTATTTGACAGTCTTGTTTTTTTGTATGTGTTCAACTTACTGAACTAAAAGAGTGTGGATAAAGCTGTAAGTTAGTTTTTGCTTATTCTGTATTTAAATATGCCTAACTAATAAAGTATTGAGTAATTATACATTGATGTTGAATAGTTGTGAACTTGTTTATAATGACAGGTCAACATTATAGTTGTCACAGTCAACAAACATGCTAACAGTAAGAAGTCCTGTTTATTAAGCAGTAAATGTTGTATTATGTTTTTTCTACATAAAGTACGGTGGACTACTATATACTTGTACTTTATGCACAAAATACTTCTCATTCTTCAGGTCTATGAACCTCGTTTCACAGCAGAACTACTGGCAACCCTCCTGAATATACCCCCAAACAAGACGTTGCTAAGGAGACACTTGATCACACACTTTCGACAAGTAGTTGGTTTAGAGTTGATGCAGAAAAAGCGAGAAGCTGAGGGACAGGCAGGCTATGTACCATTAACCCCCAGTGCTAAAGTCAAGGTCAGTAGACAAGTTTCATCATGGAACATTTCTTTGAATACTAAAGATTCATGGGTAAACGTGATTTTTTCTTTATCTTCAGTGCAAGAATTAAATTCATTGTATTAGTAGACCAAATTTCATGTAAATTCTCTTTAAAACATGTAATTATTTATCCTGATTTTAAAGTCTCCATGTATATTTGTAAAACCTACCATATACAAACCTTCCAGAAAAACGTGGATAAAAATAATGCTGTTTTTAACAATATGAAGGATATGTCAGCAGAAACTATAATTTTTGTTTACCACTAATATTACTGTGTAAGAAAAGAGTTTGCTTGATTCAGGCACACTTCTCGTTATTTGTGGTTTGTATTATCACTTAGTGATGTTGTGCTATATATTACATTTGTATTAATTCACTATATTTGAGATATGATTTACACTAATGACATTTGTGAACCTTTTGATTTTTTTTCATGCACTTACATGAAGTTTAAAATATTAGTATCTTGGTAGTTTCATGATTAATCTCAAACATTTTAGTTGTTTGTTTTGCACTCAAGAGTAAATACTTGAGGAATATGTTGGAAAACAACATTTTACTACTAGTTATGATTGGATAGTAGTTACCTGGCAGTAACGTTTAATTTGTGAGAATTCATATCCAATAGATATTTTTATTATAAAAAAATGTCGTATTTTACAGTTGTTTTGAATTTATAGTTATATATGTAAAAAAAATTGTATGCAAGGTCTAATGACACTTTATCCCTTGTTTTTTTATGTATATATAAAGGTCAGGTGTAAGTAATTTTGCAGTATGTAACTTTTTCTGCAGCCATAATACAGTTAACATAATATTTAAATGTTGTCAGATAGTTCTGCTGTACTGTTTGCTATAAACTTCATTAGATCAATTGTTATGTTAACTATACCATTTTTGTTTTTATCTTGTTTAAATAAGTTACAGCAGTTTCTCTAATTACTTCAGGCTGTTCGAAGAGGTCATTTCACACTGAAGAAGAAACGAAAAAATAATGAGGTGGTTTTTGAAGATTATGTTTGTCCCATGGATATACCTGAAAAACCACCTAAGTCATTAGATAATGAGTCTGGTCATAGGAATGGTGACTCCACTAGTCAGCAGGAACACAAGGTGAAGAGTAGTTAAATACATTTTATAAATCATGTGTTGTGTTTTTCTGTAATAGTTCAATACTCTTGACATTGGTGCTCAATGATTTATTTATGTGTAGTTTTCTGCTGCTGTAACATTAGAAGTTCTTGATTATTTTGTGTGTAGACTTCTTCTCCATACATTTTTGTACACTAGTTATGTATAATGTCCTGCTGTAACAATTTTAGTAGTATTTGGTTTATTTTGTGTAGTGATTGGTCTCTTAACATTATTCCACATATTTATGCCCACAGTGACTCAGTAGTAAGCTTGAGAGCTCATAATGCTAGAATTTGTGGTTTGATCCCTATGGTGGGCACACCACAAATAAGTCATTATACAGCTTTGTGCTGAAAACAATTATACTACAAAGGTATACTCATCTGTAGTGTTCTGCTGTAGTGATTTGGAAAAGCACTATAATTTGTTGTGTAGGACAGGCCCCCTGTACAGCATCCTGCTGTAATAAACAGTCAGTGCTAAAGGTAATATTTAATTCCTGATGGACCCTTTTGAAAATGTTGTTATAAACTTGCACCAAGTTGCTTATAGGTTCATCACTTTGTTGGTTACAGGGTCCTTAATAATTTATGGATCACAAAAAAAAAAGATAAAAATACTAGCAATATTGCAATTCATCTCTAATTACTGCTAAAATCTCCTATGTATTTTAGGTTAAAGATGAGTGATTCCATCCAGTTTTATTGGTCAGTTCTTTACACTTAGTGTTTTAACAGACAAAACAAAAGAGTGCAATATTTGGATCTCGCTGATGGTGAATGATACAAAAATAAGTCAGTAATTTAAGAGTTAAACTTTATGTTTATTCTAATAGTAAATAGTTTCTTTGTGTCATGGCCACCCAGTTACCTTAAATAAAATATTGTATAAACTATTATGTAAACAACTGCTAACTTATTCATTTATCAAGTTGTACTTTTCTGCTTTCTATGTACAATTTCATATTAAGATGTTGTTCATACAGTACTAAAAGATCTTAGGGGTAATTGACAGTAGATGTCAAATGTTCTTCTTATTGTGAGACAGGATCAGAAGACTGCCCATGAAATTGGTGCTGTATCTAAAGATATATCTTCCTTAACAGTAAGTAAGCTTATAATCCAAACTCCAGTAGTGTTTATTATCACAATATTTGTGAAGTAATTAAAAAATATCATATCATATAATTTTTTTTCTAATTTTTCACAAATGCTACCAGGGTTGGAAGTTTAGCAAATTAACAAATTGCTAGCCATCATTTTAGTTGCTATTGTTATACCACTGGAAATTGAAACAATATTTGCTAGTATTTCATTTGTAAGGCATAACTACATGTTTAAATTTATTTGTAAAAACTTAAAAAGGAGAACACCATTTTTACAAGAAATTATAGGTATTCTTATTGAAAATATAAATATCATTAACTTTTTACAGCAGCTAGTTTTGTTAGAAGGTTTAGCATTCATCAGTTAAGTTTATTTTGGTGAAAACTGCAGTGATATAATGAAACTAACATGATAAGGAATAAATATATAATCCAAGTATTTAACAGGGATGTCAAGATAATGTTAAGTTACTTCATTTGAACCAATGCATGATGATGAAGTGTGTGTGAGATTTGGAAAAACTTTGAGATTTGTTGGTGAACATGTACAAGAAGTTTTGCAGCATTGATGAATAATTTTAGTTCCAACCAAAAATTCACATGATGATACAAACAAATAAACAACTGAAAGTGTTTTTAAATTATGTAAGAAAAACATACAATAATGGAATGATAAGTCACAAGTTTTTTTTAATTTTTGTATTAAAGGAGAAAAATCCACCTAAATTACAAAAACATATTCTTAACATTTTAATACTTTAAAAGTCATGGTTAAACTGCATGGTATTGAACAAAATATTCCTTTGACAACAACAAAAGATAAATCTGAAATGCTGTTCTCACACACTTTTAAATTTGAACCACAATGGATATATTAAGAGGAATATAGAAAAACAATCTTCAATTAACTTCATTTTTAAGCCTTTTGGTTTTCAATACTTTGCCAGCTTTTGGCAATTAAACTGTGACTTTTAAAATTCATATTAGTCAATATTATTCAAAATCATTATTTGGTTAAGAAAGGTACCAGGTATGCATCTTTTTTTTAGTTATTTGTAAAAAAAATTATTTTGGCTTGAATAGCATACATATAATTTAGAAAATCATCTCTCCTTGTATCAGTTTCTTTCATGTGTTGAAGACCATTTGTATTTTGACTTCAAGTAATGATTTGTGTTTTGACAATATAATTAGCAGTGTAGAGTCATCTTTTTCTCATAGGTGTCAGGGCAAGTAGAATGTGTTGAATCAAAAAAGTATTACTAACTATTGTTTCAGCCTTGCTTATTTGAAAAAAGGAGAGACTGTTACATAGATGTGGGTTTGTCACAAAATAAACATCTTTGAAATGTTTCTCAAAGCCTAATAAGCACTGTTTTAAGGGCTATAATATTAATGAAATTATGTTTTAGGAAAAAAACATGAAATTTGAACATAGTACTTCATTTTTAGGTGTAAAGTGGAAACAAAGATCATTTGGAAAAGTTTGCTAGTGGATAAGAAAATAAAAAATTCTATCTGGCTAGTCTAAACATGCTGCTTTTTCAGCTTTATGTGGTAGTAATATGACATCACAATAAGGCTAATGATAATTCAAATTACAACCAATGTCACGATTTGTTTTTTAGTAACTAGATACTAATTACTAACTAGTATTTGGTTAGTAAAAAAAGTTACTAATTAAGTGATTGTATAGGCTAGTATTCATGACAATGACCAATATCTGATCACTATAACCTTACTGTAAGTAATCAAATTACAACATTCATTACTGGCCTAATGCTAATACCAAGACAGCCAAACAAGCTTTAGTTTTGAGCAAAATGTCTCATCAGCAGCTTTGTACAACATACAGGCTGTACTTGAAATGTGGTTATGTGTATACTTCTTACTGGAAACCAGTATTGGGCCAGTAAGTAATGATGCAACTTTAATTATCATCACACACACACATTAGTATTAACTGTCACATTTTTCCAACTGAGGGATTCCATGTCCTACAATTTCTTGCCTTCTTAATGCTAGATTTCCACAGTAGGTGAGCTAAGAAGTGAACTATGTCTTAAGATTATAATAGTGAGCTGTCTAGCTAGGCATCATCAGATACCAAAAATTGCTTGTTTTTAAATATAATTTAAACTTGTGATTTTATCACATTTTGATTCTTAGTTCATTTTTGCTTACTTTTTAGTGGTAACAAAAGGGAATCCTCAATAGTTGTGGCTATAATTAGATCTCAAATAGATGTTGGAAAAAACATCTTGGAGCCATCCTATGAGCCACAATGCTGCAGCTAAAAATTAATCATATCTTAAGGTTTTATGCAGTACAACATTAATATAACTTCCAGTTAAAACCTCTGCTGTGAAAGTACGTACATACCTATCTGCAATTTAAAAAAAATATTTGGGTGCTTATGCATTTATTTTTGTCTCCTCTAGAACTTGTACTTCAGTGTGAAAGTCCACAGTTTTTTTGTTTCTGCTTTTTTCTGTACATGACTACTGTGATGTTTTGCTTCTATGAAATTATAAAAAGAACTATTTCTTGCACTTGTGCATGAAAATAAGAACCAAACAGAATGGATATATTTACTTCTTAATTATATGTTGGTTTACAGTTATTGTATTTTCATACGGTACTGATGTGAAATACTTGATAATATTAATTCCATGCCTTCTTTTCAGAGTATGCTGAAAAATGAAAACCTGATTGCATCTATGACAACCACAAATGTATGAAAGAAATTATAACAGTCCTGCTGAGAAGAACTTCACAGAAAGCTCCATAGGTTTTAGTTTTGTTTTACATAAATCATTAATGTGAGAGATACGAGTATTAGCAGTGAATGGTTGGCGATGTATAATGGTGTGTGGTTACCGTTTGGTCAAACTTCATTGCACTGTTGGAGGAAACACAGGGACTGGTGTTAGGTTTACTTTGATTATTTATAACAGTACTATCAATATGCTAGCACAGTGATCTCAAATAATTACTAATGACCAGATTCTGATGTATGGATAAAAGAAACTTGCTCTCTTCTATTCTAGATTTTCAAATTCACATGTGATAACAGCAGCTTTTGAAGTTATTAAATTGGTTTTCTTAAATTCCAAGGAACGTAAATAGTGATAACTACCCAAGTAACTGGAATTTCTAGTTAGCTTTCTCAATAAATAGGGGAGATGACTGTTATTCTATGTAAGATCTCATAATCAGTTACATTCAAAGAAAATTAATATTCAGTTGATGATGATAGTTTCTGCAATATTCATAATTATCTGTTTTGAATTTTACATAAAGGTAAAGTGCAATAAACCTGGAAGTAGCTATAGACCTCATGATGTGATTCATGACAAAGAGCAATCTTCAAGCAGGCTTGTTTCAAATTATGGAAACATAATAGCAAATATTACCAGGATTACTAAAAGCACGCATATTTAAAGGTACGAGTAGCTATATTAATGATGAAAGAACATCTGAAAAATACTAAAAAAATTTTTTAAAAATGACGTTCTGCTAAATCAAGAGACTTGGCTGTATAGTAGGCTTAAGGCTAATTTTTTTGCCTTCATCATTCAAACAAATCAAGCCTTCATAAAAGTGCCTTAAATCTTGGACGTTTCAACAACATATCTATAATATCAGAAGAATTAAAGTTATGAATCCTTTTAATGCAGGAAGTAGAAGGCTACCTGGTACTGAAATGTTTCAACTTTTAAAACCTCCAGCTTTGTTACAAAATAAGTATTTTACAATTTAAACAAATGTTTGTGAATTAGTGGTTGGTACCGGTCATCCAGATCAAAATGTTTAAGACAATTCAAGATGGAACCATGTTCCGAAACTACATGGAAAATAACTATATGTAACCAGAGTCCTGCAGTGTATTTGAAGGATTAACTGGTCAAATTCAAATACTAAGAAAGAATTATGGAATTTTAGGGCTACTGTTAACCCAAAGTACTGAATAAGAAATTGAAAAAAGTATAGTGTAAGTGTCACATCTTTAATTTTTATTTTAACCTATTGTAGCATAAATACCACAACTTTCTAGTTATTTGCATTCTTTAAAGCAGTATTTGGAAAGTGTAAGTATTGTTAAGCAGTGATGTTCAAGCTTGGTATTATTTTAAATGTGAAGTTATCAAAATGTATTAAGGCAAAAAAATTTTTTTTCTTATGCAAATTATTGAGATTGAAATGGAAACATCCTTTTTAAGGCTTTAGGATCTATGTTTTCAGTAATGATATTCTTATTGACAGCTATGGATTTAATCCATGTTAAGTATTAGTTACAAGTGTCTTAGATTTTATAAGAAAATAACACTGGTTTTGACAATGCAGCTATAATTAGTTGATCTAATGAGTTATTGTTTTAGTTGAAAAACAGAAAATTACTTTTTTTTTTAACATTTTACAAAGTCTTTGACAAAAACTATTTTTATAATTGATGTGGATAGGTATTACAAAACATGATTTTTTTTTATAGAATTTAAAATTTTCTGCCTGATTCTATCAAATAACTCCAGAATACTACAGTTATTTTTATATTTAAATGCCAAAAACTCGAGAATTACTCAGGATTGCCAAATGAAGAAGAATCAATGAAAAATATATCTAATCGTAATATTTTTTATCAACATGTGGAAATAGGGGTAAGGTGGTATGTTATCTCCACTGTTAAAACAGTTACAATTTGACCATGGAAAATAAATTGGTATATTTCTTTAGAGTAAGAAGCATAAGATGGCCTAGTAGAGATAAGGTTATTTGTTCTCATACTTTACAGGTTTTTACAAACAGAAACAAAGTAATTTTATACCCAAAATTAGGATTATTGAGTATGATCATGATTAATAAAGTTGGATTTCTTAGAAACAAAATAAAAAATCTTGTATGTATATGTGTGTGTCCTTTTTTTTTTTCACCCATCTCCCCAAAATTTAGTTCACATTTATAAAAAAATTCCACTTATATCCTTAGTGTATTTTGTTTTATGATTCTTCAGTATTCTGTTGCTTAATACTGTCACATCTATGCACCCATGTATATAACAAACAGCTAGAGGCAAGAAGGAAAAGGCACAATCTGAATAATTATTTGAAATTTAAGATTGTTGCTATACATTTTAAAATTGGTGAACCAGTCAAGTTACCAAGAACACACATCTACAAATCCTGACATATGTATAAACAGGCTGTGACACTGAATTTAAGTACTCCATGTGAAATACAGCAACGTGTTAATTGGTTTTGTAGCTTAATGACTGCTGAAAATGAACCATTAAAATGCTCTTCATGGGTTGCACAAGAAGATGGAAAAACAAAATGGGGCTTTCAGGGATCTGAATTACTGAATGTAAACTCCACCAACATTAAATAACTAAGGTATTATATCTTTATAAAAAATGCAGTAACAGGTGTAAAAGAAATCCTAGTAATAACACATATCATGAAATACAAAAAAAAGTTATATTTCTCCCCCCCCCCTCTTATTATTTTTTTTACTGGATATGTTGCATTGAGCATAGTGGATATTCTAGCAAGCAATCAGCATAAGTGTTGACATCCAGCCCTGCTGAACTGAATTTACACTTTTCTGCCATACTTTGACCAACACCCAAGCTACCTAAAGAAAAAAACAAACAAAATACTATGAAACAAGCCATAAACAAAAAATTCCAAAGCCGTAAATAACCAAGTGTTATTAAATAAGGCCCTAACAAATTCTTTGTTTGGTTAAACTTTTCCAATATTTAGTTTAATAACAAGAGATAAAATCTTGTATATTTCTCTCAAATACCGTTCTTTGACGGGAACTAAAAACTAGACTAGGGTGTAATCAAAACCAATTAACATTTACTGAACATATTTCATCGTCACTTAGGCGCATATCAATGTGAAATATACATCAAGACATTGCCAAGCCAATAAAGCAAAGATTCACATTCGTGTTGTTACCAAGACTCCTCTCATATTGCTGCATGTGTTTATTAATGTTGTATGTCTGATGTTTTTACAAACACTTGCTTTTCTTTCTATTTTGACGTTTTCTCAGTTTATTGCTGCAATGCCACCTAAAAAATAACTTTTCAAAGAACTGGAAACCTTGAGAGTTAATAAAACCTGTATGTTTCAAAGTGATGTTCAGCTTGAACGTTTTCTTATACGATTACGTACAGCCACGTTTAAATGATATCTTAAAAAACAATAATGTTCTGAATAATTATTTGTTGTCAAGTTTGCTGTTTTATGTATCAGTCATTATTATGTGTGATGATTAGCAGTAAACTTATGACTCGGGTTTTTTAATGAATTTTATTCGATTTAGACTTAAAAATAATAACAAAGACAAAATAATATTCATAACATACATTACACTACTGTATTTATAGCCCTGATTGTCCCCAAAATATTTATTAATAGGGCCCAAAATGTTACTCTAAATATCTGGCCAAGATCAATATAATTAGGTATGGGCTGAAGGGCTGTCTTTAATGGCAAATATTTAACTATTTTTTGTGTGACAGTTAGACTTATAGCTTTCATTCTACTATATTACTGCTGTATGGATTTGCATTTCTCTTTCTGTTTTTATTAACTTTTATGCAACAGCTCTTGAAGAACATAGACTAAAATTATTAAATATTTTTGAATTATCTTGAAGGTGGAATCTGGAAAATTCTGAAACATCAATGTTCTTTATTTTATCAAAAATTTTATGATTTTACGTTTCTACTAAATGAGCTTATTTTACACTAACAATAGACAAGTGACACCTATTTGCTTGCAGACATAGTTAAGCTACATAGTTCAAAGCCTATTACTGATAAGTGTTGTGAAGTCAGTATATTGTTCATTTTACTAGTCACATTTCTCTAGAGATCATTTTTTGCCAGAATGAGATAAACACATTCTTACAGCTTGTCATCAATAAAAATGGGAGATGTCACAGCAATGGGATTAGACTTTCAAGGACTTCTCACAGACTTCCTGATAAAACCCATTGATTTTCAGGGATTTTAAACACTGAAAAAAATTTGTTTACAAAATTCACTTATTTTCCAGGATTTTCATATGTACAAGCCCTGGTTCTCTAATAAGGAATATTAAAGTCAATGATGTGAATTATTTATGTGTGCAAGGTTAAGTCACACTTGTTTGGACTGATCAAAGACTTGTGAGCAGACAGTAATATTTCATAACTCACACTTTCAAACAAACAAACAAAAATAATTCTATTCTTTTCATATTTAAAAATAAATACAAAGTTAGATTCTGTAGAAAAAAAAAACTTGTTAATAAACAAACAACCCAAAACATAACAGGTTTTACACTGTGTAGTAATCCTATTAATTATTTTAAGAATATGATTAAAATACTCTCCTTTTGTAAAGTCAAATCTCTTTGAATCATTCCTTTTTTTCTGTGATCCATAGTGACTTTCATAAGAATAGATGAAAAGCTGCATTTTCTAATCACTTAAGACTGTTTCAAAAGTACTTAGGTATGTATAGAACATGTTTAAGTAGTTCAAAAAATTTAACTTTCATGAACAGGCATTTTGTACTTCAAGGAACCAGGGAAATATGACAAAAAATTTTATATTTGATTGATTAGCTGTATATTTTATTGAAGAAATGCTCTATAAAATCATATATTATTAGATTCAGTGTGAAAAACCCTTATGAAAGTGCACTCGTATGGTCCCTTTGAATAGAAATAGCAGGCACACCAAGTATGGTATGCAATGGATTAAATAGGAACTGTCATTCATTCCATTACCAAAGGGAACAAAAAATTCAAGTCAATGTCTATCTTATTTAATATAAGCTAACATTGATAAAAAAAAAATAAATGTAGAAAAAAATTAATATCAAAGTTATTTTTTTAAATTAAAACAATACGTATGAGCATACCTATCTAGGGCCAAGTATACAACACATTGTTGCAATGATTCTTCCACAAAACCTGAGACCAAGCATATTCAAATCAAGGTGTCTAACTACTTCTACAGCCAAATATAGAAGAGTGGGGGGGGATTTTACTTCCTCAGGAGTAATATACTCTAACCCATCATACTTTTTCCAATTTTAAGGCTTAACACACAATGTCTAAGGTATTTTGACCACCCCAAGTACATCTTATTAACTAATTCCTAAAACACTATATAGTACCATGTTGTATCATTTATTAATAATAATTAATGCATATTTACTACTTTCCTCTCAGAGATTTGAAGCATTAAACTGAGTGACAAAGCTCCATGGTACAATTGGCTTTATGTAATTTTCTTTTTATTCTCAGTTATAAAAACAAAACTGCAAAGAAGATACATTGAATTTACGTTACAGGTATTAATATTTGATTATTAACTAAAGGTTACTACTTTTTGTTTCACCTTATTTGAAAATTTTATGTCTCAAACAAGTGCGTGTACATGAATTGACTACAAGTAACTATTTATTTTCTTACCAAAACTGATGTTCACTATGAAATAATGTACCAATTAAGTAGATATTTCACCAACACTATTTCTAAAATAAAATATTAATTTCTTATTAAGAAAGAGCTTTCAAAATTTTAGGAACCAAGTTTTACAGCTAACTATGTTGAACTTACATTTTTTTGTAATAAAACATCAACTATTTGTTTTTAACAATCAAAGAGACCAAAGTCTCACATGAAACTTGCATATATTTTTATACTTTCTGCAAACCTTGACATTTGTATCTTGAGAAGGGGCTGTATCTAATATGCAGTATTTTAACAAAAACTACATTATTAATATCTTAAAACTTTAAGTTGTACATTCTACAAGAAATATCCATAAAGTGAAAATTATTACTTTAGTACAAAAAATATTCTGTAAAAAAGTACAAAAACAACTGAAAAAGAAAACTAAGTAAAAAAAATGTTAGTTTTACTTTAGTCTTGATATAAAAAAAACACAAATATCTACATTCAAATAACAGTAAATTTCACAAGCAAATAATTTTTCTCATATATTATTATAAAAATTTTAAATTGGACATTACAGTCTTATCAAGTTTACTTTCTCAACTAATTCATTAACAAGAATATTTCTCTTTTAAATATTCACCAAACAATGTTAGTTTTTTGGTTTTGTCCACTTTTTATAATCATGAAATATTTGCATTCTAGTTATTTAATTAATATAGGTATAACCAACAAAATGAATGACATCCACACAATTTCGTCCTTGGTCAGAGTAAATTTCACTTTTTAATTACATAAAATGCAAAAATATTTATGTTACAGAAGGGCTATATCTATTTTGTCAGTTCTCTAGTTTCAGTATTACTAGTTATTTCACAAACAATAACAAAAAATAACTTTGGTCTTCTGATACTATAAAAATAGTTAGAATGATATTTGAGAACTAAAATTAAGTAAAACTTTTATGAAAATTAAAAGATTCTTTTGTCCCCTTTTTTATGATTAAAGATTTTGACGTATTACTTCAGTAGAAATAAATATAGGTAGAGCCTACGCATAAAAGTTGGTTGACATAATGTCTCCACACAGTGTAAGCTTGGATGGTAGTCTTCTACAGTGCAGTCATACCCTGTGTAGGAGTATCAGTAGGGGTGGGAGGCCTGTCCTCTGTAGGGGTGGGACTATCGCTGAATGGCTGCTCATGGGGTGGAACCTGCTCATTTGCAATTAAAGGGTGTGATTCAGCTTCTTCTGAGGATTCAAGGGAGAAAAAAAGAGACAAAAATGAGTAATCAGACACACAATATTCAAAGTGTAGAAGATTGAAAAGTTCATCACATGATCTTTGAAAACACCCCAACAAACAGCCACTCAGAGTAAGAAAACTAAAGGTCAGTCAAACTAGTTCCAAAATCTGTAGAGTACTCAATAAAAAAAGAAAAATACACATGTAAAATGTTACTTATATTAACTTATGTTATCCAAAACTCCAAGTGCTTTATCAAGTTGATTATGAAATATGGTACAAAAGATTTTCAACAAGAATTATAGTTTTGATGTTGTTTGAAAACATTCATTATACATGCTCATTAAATCATGTTTAAAATTTTTTTTGTTTTTGTTTTCAAGAAAATGAGTTAGAAATAGCTGTCAGAGAAATTTTCAAATAAATATTTTTAAGAGCTGGTCTTGATACTAATCAAAAGAATGAATGTAGATATTAAAAAAAATATATTGGAAATGGTAGTTGATAAGCAGTCATTTCTTAATTATGATATTGTATACATGTAATGAAAATAAGAGAACAGTATAAAAATTACCATCTTCAAATATAAAAACACTGAAGATCTTCTAAAACCTTTTCTCTGTTGAGAGCAAAACAAAATGAGAGGACTGGTCATTAGTATTCTGTCACAAAATTTGACCATGCTCAATTGCTAAGTTGATAATATTATTGGTCAGGAACATTAAGAACTGACAAGGAAGAAAATCAATTGTAAACACTATTCTTTTACTATATTTCTTATAAACAGAAGTAAGCCTTGGTGGTTCAGTCATACTTTGAATCAAGCCAATGACTCGTTCCTGAAATATTTTGCCTATAATATGTTATAGACCTTCACCACTGAAAAAAAAAAGTACTTCTATAAAGCTTTCCAAATTTCTTGAGTTACACATTTATAAAAAGTAAGGGTCAATGATGAAGTTTTTAAAAGCTAAAACCACACTACAGAAGTGTTCACTTTTCCGTTAGAGAAAGAACAAAGAACTCGATAATAATAATCATAAGTTAGTTCTGTCATTCATCTTCTTATAAGTTCATCTACCTCATTTGTCTTCAGTGATAATGGGTTCCCTTTCACCACTTGTATTTACTAATAAAGAGTTCAAGTTCATTGTTTCTTATTCTTCATTAATGCCAATTTCTCTTCACCAATAATGGATTTAGCCTCAGTAGTGTTGCTCTCAATCTCAACATTTCTCTTCAGAAAGAACAGATTAATCTTTAAAATTCGACTTCAGAAGTAACTTTAAATCCCATCATTTCTCTTCAGCAGAAATGGGTCAACCTTAACAATATGTTTCACTAACAATGGGTTCTGCCTTAACATTCTTCTTTAACAGCAATAGAATTCATGTTCATGTTGATTCATAAAAATGTTACACTGCTGACATTAACCAAGAAGTTGTTAATAATAAAAACTGGTAAAGAATACCTGATAAGAAAAAGAAACATACACAAATACATTCTGTAGAGGAAAAAAAAAAAACTAAAAAGGTGAAGGAATTGGATGTGAAGGCATTCCCGATTCAGTCCCTGCACTTAGGAATAACAATAAAAATGTGATTACTGGTTAATAAAAATTCAAGTCTTTATCTAAGTTACTCAGTGTTACTGTCTCATGTCTGGTTTCTTGAAAAATATTTACATAAGCATTGTTACACTTCAAATCAGTATGGTTTTTTTCACAGAAAACTTCTCATAAAATTCAAAATTTGTTCAATATATCTTTTATGATACTGGTTCTGTTTAAAAGCAGTGTATATGCACAATGGTGAATTAATGTATACATAAAGACGAATAGTCTGTTTGATCATCTTATTACATCAAACCTTGTGATCAAAAACTTAAAGAAATTCATTATAGCTAAACAAGGATGTAAACAATGTATATAAAATTTTACTCTCATGAGTTCTTTGTGACACAAAGTGTTTTCTTTTTTTTCATTTACAAACACGACTGTTTTCAAACACCAAGTTCCATATGAAAACACTAGACATTAAAGCCAACATATCATTTATTGTATTCTAACATGTACAAGTACATAATACATTAAAAGAACAAACCACATGTGAGTAAGGGTTTATTCCTGAGAAATAACAACAAAAAATAACTAAAAGTAATACATCATATGTACTTTAAATATTTCAACATACTTAAAAAATGTAATCATGTCGTTCATAACCATGTATGTTCAGGACAGAATTTGACAAAAAAAAAACATTTTTCAAGCTGTAACAATCCAAAACTTAACATATTATTATGCTAAAACTAAATATTTTCAAATATTTTGTGAGACACTTTCATATTGTTATCATTTTAACACCTGGATGTGGAATAATAACCTACAAAAAATTGCATTGTGTAACCACTCAAAAGTAAATAATTGTAAGAAAATAATAATAAAATTTCACAAAGGAACAGAAAAGTATAGGTCCTACAGATCTAAGCACATTCACAAAATGACGACTCTCACTTTAGAGGCTGCTTAACCTGAGTTTTATTATACAAACACTTGTACTTCTCTCACAGTTGAAAAAGCATTACCTATATTGCTAGTATTTGTTATTAACATAAAAAGTTCTTGAACTATTTTATTACCACAATAACATTCTAAGAAAACAGAAATATCCATATAAATCTTATTAAAATCAGCTCAACAAATTGAAGAATATTTTGCAATATTTGATTATAGAATATTTATTTATTTGTTTTTAAAAACAAAACTTAAAGAATACCTACTACAACTTTAACTTATGTTATATTGTAATCCAAACAATATATATACAAAGAAACTATAAAAGAGGATTATTTCTTAATACTTTGCTTGATTTAAACAGGATTTAAATTGAAAGATGTAATATCAAACCTTAGTATTTCACAAGAACTGAAACAATATAAAGCAATTTATATTTCAAAGGTTTTATTTTAACTGCTTGAACTTAATTTGACTGCATGGAATAAGATTGCAATTAGACTTACTGTATTTTTATAGAAGAAGACGTATTCTTGTTGAAAAAATAAAAAAAGAAGCAACAAATGTTGCCCAAAGTAATGTTCTATCTTCATTCTGCTCTTACACCATATGACAGAACAATTTTCCACTAGAAAACCTCCCATATCAAAGATAAATGTAACTCATTAAAGACACATTCACAGACACGTACAATATTAAGGAAGGTATGCATGCAATACAGTCAAGTGTCCAACAAAAATATTATTCTCATAAACTGAATTTCTACACAATATGGAATGAGATCTGATATACAAACTGCTTATCAAAACAGACAATTATAACAACCCTGTGGAACTGAAACCATAACCAAAAATCAATGTATGCCTTTTCACTGTATCTTTACATTCAACTACATTTCACCTAGTTTTCAACATGGTTACAGATGCCACAGCGCAAATAAGCAACTTTTTATTGAAGCATTAATATAATTATTACAAATTATGTATGCCAGTGTTAGAATTTGGTCCAGGACATCCTTTCACAAATTGGGCAGCATTAAGCTGCTTTGTTATAATAAACCTGAAAACTTCAAATTGCAGAAGAGATACCATTTCAGGAGTTTTTTTACTGATATGATTTAAATCTGCTTCATTTTTCACTTGGCTTAAAATATGAGTTTATCTTACTTAATACACAAGGATATATTAATAAAACAACCCAGACACTCCTATAGATTCTTCAATAAGTCTGTTTATACTTTATTGAACAATCAAAATGCAAACGCTTAGTCTGCAATTTTGTAATTTCAATCCAAGTAAGAGAAGGACAATTTAGATTACATGTCTTCAATAATGCCCTGATAATATGCACCCATCATTTTAACAATCATTAGCAGTCTCATGACACTTCTTCAACATAACAAGTAGTTTTAGTTTGGAAAAGTCCACCAATACTAACATAAACATTACTTAAAACAGTCAGAGGTAGTGATTTGACAGATATTGCTCAAGTAGAACACAAAAGTAATTAACTTTGGAGTTCATTAAAATGACATGGAAGATTGCACAGTTTTTTTTACATAAATTCAAAACCTATATTTAAGTGTTGTGTTTCAGGTTAACAACACTCCTGTTACAAGGAAAATACTGCTATAAGCATAAACTTAGCACCTAAAGCTGTCTTTATGAAACAGTATCCTAAAATGTTACAATGTCAACTGAAGTTGAACAGAAATGCTTATTGATAATGATCATAATAAATGATTATTCATAAAACTGTTGCAACTAATATAAACTAAGAACTAAAAACACTGAAACCAAAGACTGACAATCTTAAGAACATTTTCACTCATGATGAAATTAACTTACACAACTGGTTAATCTTAAGTGCACCACCATATCCAAACTTCTACAAATCTACTCTACCAGTAAAAAAAACAGTATTGTATATTCTACTCATCAAACCTACCGGATCTTTACAAAGTATATCCAACACTACCCTTTTTTTTTTTTTTTTTACAATCAGTGCTAACATATTACAAATAAATCCATGATCCAAATAGAAAATACACTTCAATAACCACAGTATTTTATGATACCACCATAATAACAATGATACTGAGTAACAAGTTTATCAGGGAAGCATGAGAGCTTATACAATATGGGACTGCAGGCTTTTCTATACAAGCAGTCTTATGTACATTTCATGTTTGACATTGTGAAAAATGCGGGGAGAAATATATGTGCTTATAACTCATCTTAACACTACAGAATCTGAAATAAAGGTTGATACTTCTCAAATATAGACAAAACTCTACATTTGCTTTTTGGTAACTTACTATATAATATTACTACATGTACTTAAAGTTTAAGAACAATATTTCTGAAAAATAAAAACTTGAACTCTTGATAAGTTGAAGTACATTCACTGAGCAAGAAACTACATAAAATCCACCTGTAGAAGGATAAAGAGGAAAAAAAACAACAGAAACTTGTGATAAACTTAGTACCATAATAAAAATAATAATAAATGTATACCTTCAGTTTTCATGTTAACATTATATAAAATTGAAGGAGATTAATAATGATTTCTTTCAAAAAGCACGTAACACTTCAGGAAGTCCATACTTTCAATATTTCTTTAATGTGTAAGCATGAGTGGAAAGTATAAAATATCTTCATAGCTAATGAATGAGACAAAGTCTGATTAATGCCATATTTAATACAAGAAACTACCTTCTATACATTAATATCTTTTGTAAGTTTACTGTCATATACAAGTGTTCTGGAAATGGCATATCTGTTTATTGTCTTTTAAATGAGTGGTATATCAATTCAGAAACTTTTTTTTATTTTATTTGTTTTGGATATTTGTCTAAGGAAAGGTAATCTGTGCTAGCCATCCCTAATTTTGAACTGACAGACTAGAGGGAAGGCAGCTAGTCAACAGCACCCATCACCAAATTGTGGACTACTGTAATTGAATAGAGGGATTACTTTAACTCATGTAATGGCCACAGCCATAAAGTGCAGAATGCAATTTTGTGGCATTGTAACACAAACCATGGACATTTGGATTTACAGCCTGGCTTGCAAACTACTAGGCCATACCTGGCCCAAACAGGAACGTAAATGTGTTGTATGGAACTTGTTTTAAAAATATAGGAACCACTACGTATGCTTTAAGAGCAAGGGAATTCAAGGTTTCTCTTCAAAAACAATACAATCTAACACTGTATTTATAAATACATAATAAGTCATCTCTTTAGTACCAATTACTTTACAGTTTGGATATGAACAATACATATCTTACTTAGTTTCAAGTCTAAGTACTATTTCATGGGCTATTTAAATCAAAATTTGTAAAACATTGTTTTGTCCAATTATTAACCTTTTGTCAAAATAATTTTTTTTTAAATCATTTCAAAGGCTACAATAATACGTCAAAATAAAACTGCACTAAACTATAAAATATGTCAGAAAGCTCCAGAGTGAACTTTGCTCCCAGCAAAACAAAATCATCAATAAATATATAATAAGTCAATTTCCAGTTCTAAACTAGTTGCTACTCCACAAAATTACCAAATTCTAAACTATGTAATGAAAACAAAACAAATTTAAATTTCTGGCTGTAAATGTGTTCAGTGTCACAACAAACTACTGATTACCACACATACAACAAGTTATCTAACAGCAAGAAGCATAACAAATACTTAGTCTAAACTAACCCTACAGACTAAAACAAATCAACTAAAAAATCAAAACTTTTAACAAGTACCTGTTTATTTCTCTAAATTTTACAATATACTAAAAACTTTTTTTTTAAAGTTTGAAATAAAAATATTGTCATATCGTAACTCAAATAAAACCCTAATTATATTGATATCCCCTTGTTCTTCTAATTAAGTTATATGTAATCTACTCTACTTTTTCATACATCTGTATCTTTCTGCTCTATTTCTATGGTGAATAGGACTGGTTTATAAATCACTAACATTATCAACATTCCAATATCAAGTTTAAAATCTTAAAAAAATGTCTTGTACAATAAAAATAGTTCCTTTGGTGAAACATTAGTTATTCAACTGAAATGATGGAAATGAGTGGTTAAATGTGAGTAAACAGTTAAACTTTTTTTTTTCTGCCACTTCCGTTAAGAGAAGTTACACTGCTACCTTTCTGAGTAGGTGATGCAATTGAGCGTGCTTGACTGGAGTTCGGGTTTGGAGTGATGCGGAACATTTGGATATTCATGTGGTTGCAAATCTGACTGCAGACAATTGTGCAATAATGTAGTAGGTCGGATGTGGAATATACCTAGCATAAAGAAAAAACAATAATTACTCTCAAAGATAAGGAGAAAATTTGAAATAAATAAATTGTCTTTACAAAAAAATCAAACTTATTCCAATTAATCAAGTTATATCATAAATCTGGTGTGTGAAATCTCAAAACATTAAGCATTTTTTTTTTTTTGGAATAAGCATGGTGTAAATATTGTTAGCAATCTAATTGCAAGCTCTATGTTAAAATCTAATTATAAGCTCCACGTTAACAGTTTCAGGAGATTGAGACATTTCAAACTCCCATTATTATTATTATTATTCAGGATAACTGCCTCATGAAATGTATAGACTCCTCTAAAACTACAGTGACTAAAACTATCACTTCAGGATTAACATAGCACTTTTTCATAGTCTATTCACCAGTCAAATTTCTAAAGCTAAACTATAAAAAACATTCAATATTATCAAATTCTGATTTACAAAAACCTGAAACATAAAAGTATTGCATAAATTGTAAAAACACAGACTAGTAACATTTTCAAAAAAAGCTCCATTGTTTTACATTATCAGTACATGGCATCCAGATTATATGTATTAGATTATATGTTACATTATTTTCCAATTTTGAGGATACTAATCATGATTTTCTCAATCTGAAAAAAGCCCAGAAAACAGTCCAAAAACCCTCTGAATTTAAAAACTGGTTTACATGCAATTACTTACCAGACAAAGCCATAGTACAATGTACTCTTTGAAGAAAGTGTTGAAATACTGGTTCAAAAACAGCATACCAGGACCAACTAATACTGAATCAAAATAATCCATTTCGCTCTTACTCATATGAGCAATCTACAGAAGAAAAGCACTTTGTCATTACTATTAAGCATACTTTTATTTAATAGCAATCATTTGAAGATTTAATTGCAAATACAATACGCATTAAAGATCTCCACCAGTCATACGTTTTGAAACACCCAAAGACTTCCAGCCTTGTCAAATCTGAATTTGTCCAGAGCAGTACATTATTCAATGGTTTGTCAATTTAACGATCTTTAAATAAGTTATCATCAAACGTAAAATAGGTATTTAACATGCATCATGACAAAAAAATTTGAACTTTCTCTGCATGGCATTCTCAAATATGTCTGGATTAATATAACTGAGAATGAGTGAAACAACTTAAGAACAGAAATAAAGATATGACACCAGTAATTATCAGAAATCATGGAACTGAAGTCTCATTTTTGTTCATTGAACCAAAATGTGTTTACTTTTTAATACTAAAGTTTTTAAAAATTACCAACAAACAAACTTTTCTATGGGTCAAACTTAAAAATAGACTGATAATAGACCAATTTCTTGAAAACTAAAGGGTAGATTTACATTTTTTCTTTTCTCAAGGGTGGGTGTTAAGGACAGCCTTGAAGGACCAAAGGATCCTCTGTTCCTTGTATGTTACATTACTGTCATGTTGAAAATACTCACCACTAAGCGGTTAGTGACTTTTGCTACTACCATTCCAAATGCCAGGATGTAAAGACAAGGATGGTGTTCATATATACCAGTAGTTGACTTCTGATATATGATAAAGGCTGGAATAACCACAAATCCCATAGGGATGAAAGGGGACAAAACACTTGTGCCCTTTGAGAATGAAAAATAAAGAGTACATTTTAACAAAGTGAACATTTAATTCCTGCCTAATAATTAAAAAATATATATTTAAATTCAATATGAACAGAAATATTTTCTCTTAAAAACTAATTGAACAGTTAAATGTAGCTGTATTTTATAATACTTAAATGTTACAAATTGCCAGCTGACTAATTCTCATACCACACCTTAGGATATTTTTGTTTTTAGTTTGAATTCTATTTACTTAAACTGTTTCAGTAACATTATCTTTTCATTATTTTCTATATTATTTGATCTACATTAATTACAATGTAAGTATTAACTGATGACCTATTCTAGGTTACTGTGATTTTACATTGCTTTATGAACACTTTCTTTTTAATTCTAGCATTACAGCATTGTTCCAATGCTAACATTTTCGTAATCTGAAAATGTATTTCCAATCGATACTCACCTCTTCACACAGAATAGCTATATCCCTTGCACACCTGCCTAAGAGATTTGCATACCACTAGCTTTGAGCTAACTATCACCTAAAATTCATGGGCTAAACGTAAACTGTGCTGGTGCATAATAATGTCATCATGCAATAATGGCCCTCAACCAATAGGACGGTGACAGAACTCTCCTTGTACTTGAAATAACTTCATTCTTAGACGAGGCAAGAAGAAAGTGCACCAGAAGTGGGGAGGTTGGGTGGGTTGGTTGTTTGGTGCTTTATGGTGCAAAGCAACGAGGCTATCTGCGCCAAACAACTGGTAAAAAAAGTGAAAGTAAATTAGAGTAAAATGTAAAAATACAGCTAGTTAAAACCAAAATATGTCCAAAATGTGGATAAAACATTTATATACAATTAAAAACACCAATATTGCGTAAAAAATTAAAAATACAATCTAGTTGGACAGTGTCACCATTGTCAATGACACTGTCCAACGTCAGGGGTAAACTCTTACAAATTACATGTCTAAAATGGTGTCGCCATTCACGGTCGTAACGACGGCACGACAGTAAAATGTGAGCTATTGTGACTTGAGTGTGACAATGGCTACACATCGGTGGGTCAGTATCAGATAAAAGAAAACGATGGGTTAAAAAACTGTGACCAATGCATAGCCTTGCCAGGACTACTTCCTCCTTTCGATCCTTACGGAAGCAAGACAGCCAAAGACCAACAGATGGTTTGATCTGGAAAAGCTTGTTATGATGTTGCTCACCCCAAGTCGACTGCCAACTGGCATAAAGCTGCGCCTTGAAGACAGGACCGTAGTCCATGTATGGGACAGGCACGTCCATGACAGCACCAGAGCAGACGGACTTAGCTGCAGTGTCAGCGAGCTCATTCCCATGAATACAGATGTGGCCAGGGATCCAGAAAAACTGGATGGAAACAGAAGATAGAGAAAAGTGGGCCAGTCGGGGTTGAATATCAACGAGAACAGGGTTAGAACTAACGTTAAGCGATTCCAGAGCCTGTAGAGAGCTAAGAGAATCAGTGTAAATAGTACAATTACTGTACTGCATAGCTTCTACATGATCCGGGCTAAGAAAAATTGCATACAACTCAGCAGTGAACACAGAATATGTAGAGGGGATCCTGCGAGCAACTACCGAGCCACAGCACACCATGACAGATCCTACAGAGTCACTTGATTTTGAACCATCCCTGTAAATAGGAAGAGAAGAATGGCTCGAAAAATGTTCAGCAAAAAAAACAAGGTACTTCCAATTGGGAGTATCCGCCTTCCTCAGATGACTCAAGGAAAGGTCACAGGAAGGGATGGTAATAAGCCATGGTGGAATGGGTTGATCATTGGTGGCAGCAATGTAATCCAATGCCAGACCCAATTCAGCCAGTTGTGCCTGGATACAAAGGCCAAAGGGAGGAATAGCAGACCATCTGTTCCGAAAAAGCATGGCACACCGAGGTAGAAAGACACAATCCGAGGTGTGATGCCATGTTAAGGATCGAAACCTGGTTGTATATTGTAAAGAAAGTTGCAAACAATGGAGGTGAAGAGGAGATTCGTGGGACTCAGTGTACAAACTCTGGACTGGGGAAGTATGAAAAGCCACGGTGCAGAGCCGAAGCCCCAGATGGTAAATGGGGTCCAGCATCTTCAAGGCTGAGGTCCTGGCAGAACCATAGACCAAAGACCCATAGTCCAGTTTCGATCGATTCAGGGCACGATAGATCCTGAGCCTAGTACATTGATCCGCTCCTCAAGAGCTGGAAGAGAGGACATACAGAATGTTCAGAGCCTAGTACATTGATCCGCTCCTCAAGAGCTGGAAGAGAGGACATACAGAATGTTCAGAGCCTAGTACATTGATCCGCTCCT